CAGTTCGCTTCTCCAGGACAATGGGAGCTGCTGGAAGCAGCGGGGGCCAAGGGAAGTGCTGGCCGCCCTTCCTGAAGCCCCCATTGGCCTGGAGCGGCGAACTGCGGCCAGTGGGAGCTGTGACTTGCCGAACCTGCCGACGTGGCAGGTAAACAAACCGGCCCGGCCCGCCAGGTGCTTACCCTGGGGAGCTGCGTGCCAAAGGTTGCCAATCCCTGAAATAACATATTACCTTACTCCTAGGCACCATCCTTTCTTGTGCAATTTCCTGCTAGCCAGGGAAGTTCCATCCTCAAAATCCAAATCATCAGGAAAAGTTTAAGAGAAAGAAATAGTTAGCTACGCTGTATGAATTTCACAGCGATAGCAAATCGTTCCATCTGGCACCAGGTCATTTTGAATCCCCAGTGATAACTAGAGGCATGCAAAAATTGTCCTCAAATGGATATAATAGCTGCAAATGGAGTATCCTGCAGTATTTCCAGTTCTTTGTGCTTTCTACTGCATTAATGTATTTGAACTTGGTGAAAATTATCAATAATGATAGCATGGGATGCGACAGAACTGTGCTCTTAATTTCGCTTGCTTAAGATTTTACCTGATGGCATGATGAGTCACGAATTACCATGAAATGATACAACAGAAGTCTAAAAAGTGAGGTTGCCCTCCAGAAAATAAATACATTACAGACGGTGAGATGCTCAGATACTTTAGTTATGGGAGCCAGATAGATAGAGAAATACATCATCTGATCAAATTTGACCCCTTAGAATAATCAATTTGGTTATGCCTACTAATAAAGTACTGCAGTATTTTGAAGGATCATATCACAGTTTCTAACACAAACCATAATCTACAAAACGACTGCTGAATGTTTTAATATGCAATTATCCTGTGGAACTCATTGCCACAAGACATCATTGAAATTAAGAGCTGAGTGAGATTGCACAAGGGATTGTCGATTTCCCTGGATAAGAAAATGAACGGCTTCGTTAGCAGGGCTGGCTGAAAATACCAATAATTTTTTGTGGGAAATTTCAAAACCTTTTTTCATTTTCATCAAAATTGCCTGTGAAAAATGTTCAGCTTTCAAAAACAATTCTCAATAAAAACACAAAATATTGTGAGACTCATGAGAAAAATTGTGAGAATCAGCAACATTGTTTACTGGCCAAGGAAGTGTTTGGTGAACAGCCAGCTTAGTGTTCAGAAGATAAATATGGCACCCAAGATTTTAAAAAGTGGGGGGGTCTACAGTTAATCTCCTAACATAAAATTTTACGAAGACCCTATTTAGGCTTCCAAGTTACTTAGCCTTAGATCCTCAAAGGTATTTAGGAGCCTAATTCCCAGTGGGCTCCTAAATACCTTTGCAGATTGGCACTTTAGGCTCTTTTGAAAATACGTTACTTCTAAATTCTTATGTAGGTGTCTAAATAGTTGACCTGATTTTCCAAGTGCTGAGCACCCGGCAGCTCCCACTGACTTGAAAAAACCCAGCACCTGGGGACTTCAGCATTTTTGAAAAACAGGCCAGCTATTTGAACACCTAAATATGGAGTGATTTCAATGGAGTCAGGCCAGCGAATGAGGCTCAGTACAGAAATAGATATAAATACATCCTGGTATGTTACACAATCACATCACCTCCATGTCTGGGAAAAGATATTAACAGTCCCTCTTGTGGCTGTTAGATTCCAGAACCTGAGTCTTTCATGGCCTGTGAGTACAAACAAATTCTCAGCAATCTTAAAGACATCAGATATGTAAGGGAAAAATCGTCTCTGGTGTGCGCTTTTCAGCGCCGGAGCAGTGAGGGGACAAGATACATTGCCCCTGCAGAGAATTCAGACCGGCAATTAGACGTGCATAGTGCGAATATTAACGTAATCATTCAAAACGTTCCTGAGGATTTCTAGATTATTTCAGATTTCCCACGCTAGTGCTGGGTCTTTGCATTTGGCCTCTGTTTAGGCGACAGCTCCCCTGGCAGGCATCCTGGTAGGGTGGGCAGATGCGCCCGCAGCACAGGGGGCAGTGCGATCTAGTGGATGGGGCAGTGGATGGGAGTCAGGAGAGCCGGGCTCTATTCGGAGCTTGGCTGCTGTCAGGCAATCACTTCGGCTCTCTGAGCCTTCGTTCCCCCTCCCACCCTTTGTCTGTCTTTACTATTAAGACTGAAAGCTCTTCGGGGCAGGGTTTGTCTCCCATTATAAGTATGTACAGCGCCTTGCACTGTGGAGCCTTGTTCTCATTTGGGGCACCTAGACATTACAAGGGATGAAATCTCTCCTAGTAAATCCCCTGGAAAGAGGCCAGTCCGTTCATTAGTATTTAATGTTTGAGTTGATCAATATGGAATTACTTTGTGCCCCAGTGGATAGAGCACTGGACTGGGATGCAGGACACCTTGGTTCTATTGCCGGCTCTGCATCTGGATGACCTGGCATTCAGCTCTCCCACGGTCCATCTCATTGCAAGGTTGGAATGTCACATTCTGGTTCGTTTGTGCTTGTTTGTCTCACACCAGCCTTTTGCCCTAAAGAAGGGGTGGAAAGTCAGACATCTCACTCTGTTATAGGAATGTAAGATCAGCTGAGATGATTTTAAGACATTAATCGTACTAAATAGTCATAAATAAACTCCTTGGGTGGATGCAGCCAATGGACCTGTGTGTGTATGCACACGTCTTAATTCGAATTGTGTAGGATAAAGCTCCTGCCTGCATTTAAGAAAAGCTATTTCTATTGCTGTATGCTTTTAGGGCAAGTCACTGCCTCTCTGTGCCTCAGTTTCCCCATCTGACAGTGACCTCCCTTGTAAAGAGCTGGGAGATCGGCTGATGGAAAGCATGGTGTAAGTGATAGGAATGATTAATACTGGAGCCAATTCCCTGCAACCTTTATCCAGGCCAAACTGGTCACTCACATGGGTAGCTCGATACCTGGGCTTGTTGTAGATGGCTTGGTCCCAAAGCAACATGTTACGCTCCCCAGGGGCACCCAGGGCTTTGGGGCACCTCTCTACCACC